CACTAAATTGATCATAGTCATGCTTAATGATCTATTTCAAATAAGCCATTTTGTTTTTAGAATAATTAAAGATTAAATTATTGATTGCCTAATATAATATTCATTCATTACTTAAAACAATTGTTAATTGATTGTTTATTAAACAAGCAGGATAGACCTAAAGAAAGACAATATGTCAGCCAAATTGAAGAGATAAAGTTATAGATATAAGCCATGAGTATCCTTGGGTAAGCCAAGACCCATACCCAAGGCTTGGTCCTGAGTAATGGTTTAAAATATCTAGAATCACCCAGAACCTAGAATTAAAAAGAATAAATTAAATTGTATTTACAAGAAGAAGGATTCAAGTATTATTATTTTTAGTGAACCCATTTGCAGTAAAATCTGTTTAAACCGGAATCGCATAATACAAAATATTTTATCCGGTTTAGCAGGTTTCTATTTCTAACAGCATTTTTTTAACATATCACAACCTGGATACAACGGAAAATTACGATTCCATTACTTAGTAGGACAATGTTTATTTGCTATTTTTGAAGCGCTTTACTGTCAATATTACGTCAAAGATAACACCCCTCATCAGTTTAATCTATTGGCATATTACAATATATTACAATTAATACACCTTATCGATAAGAACATTATTTTAAAAAAAAAGTACATAAATTTGACAATGTGTTCCAAAACGTCACATTAAATTAACCTGACACATTACAAGAATTGATTGCCTGTTTTATAAAAGTCTAACAATTGTGATACATTTGAACAAGTAGACAGGATTTTTAAAATTATATTAAAAGTAACATTTAAAATTATTACCTAAATAACATGAGTAATAATAATAATAATATATATTTATTTTACAATAAGTAGAACACCGATTACATTCAAGTTACTAAATATTCCGAGAACCATTTTGAACCAAACGAGAGAAACGAGGAGACAAGGAGACATCTAAATTTCTCCTTGTCTCCTTGATTAACGGCTCTAACATGTAGATTCTAGACAGCGCTATTAATTAATACAAGTATTAGTTAATATTTGTTAATAGACTTAACAAATATTAATCTTTGTTGAAATTAACCATCGAGAACTTTCAAGAATCGAATGGGTTTCGAGAATGGAGAACAAACAAAGAATGTAATTCGTGAAAACAATGACAATAAGGTAACACGATGCTACCAATTTTCCTCTTACGCAGTAATTAATAACTAACTAGTATAAAGTATTCGTGAACAAGCCGATTAACATTGATAATTAGTGATTGAAGTAAACGATCAATCAGGGTATTAAAAATTCCTCGAATAGTCATATCCAAGGATGGATCTATATAGTGACTAATAGGGCTTAAGCCCTGGGTCTCCAAGTGTCAAGGGCCTACATAATTGAATTATTATCATAAATGTTTAGATACTAAAAGCTGTTCAAAACAAAAAAATTAATTTGGTATCACGATTCAGACTTTTACAAATTTTAATTCTTCAAAGTTTATTTTTTTTCGTTTAAATTCTTACATTTTCTCAAATGTTTAAGTTTAGAATGAAAGAGAAATTATTTACTGTGTCTTCGTCACAATGCTCTCAATTTTAGTAGTGTCTTTCCTCTGTACAGTACATCATACTTTTCCTATTATCAATAGAGTCATGCCGGTCATCTCTCTAACTCCGTCCAGGAGAAAATATTACTTTCGTTTCATATCGGACGTTCGTATACAGTATTCTTAATTAATCGAGGCTTCCTGCTCTTATGCTTTTCATATTTGGTTTCGACTTTTATCCATCTAAATCCATTCTCGAGATCATATAAATTCCTCTCTGATCAGAGAGGAATTTATATGATCTCGAGGAGGAATTTATATGATCTCGAGGATATATGATCTCGAGAAACCTATAAATTCCTCTCTGATCAGAGAGGAATTTATAGGTTTTTGCAATTTTCAACAATCGCAGCCAAATTATAAGCATTACGTTTTTTACATTAAGCATAAAAATGTGAAAAGTCCTGAAAATATTTAAAAAATTGAAATTTCTTTTAAATCAAAAAAATTTCTATAATTGTCGATATTTAGTTCAAATTATTTTGACTTAGAAATAGCGGGACATTGGGCAGGTTTCTAAACGCACTTATTATCAAGACTTAATGTTAATTGTTTTTCTTATGTAAATATGTAAATTATTAATTTAAATAACTATTGTTGTAGCCTACTGCCATTTTAAGAAACAATAATACTGTATTATTTAATTCACAAAAAAAGTATAAAGAAAAAAGAATTAGGTTAAGTGGTAAGTATTATGGAGATAGAATGTTTACAAACACGACTTTAAATCACGTGATTTTTTCCGCGGAAATTTAATTATAGGCTCAAGTGTGCAGTAAGATAAAAAAGGTTGAAAAATACTGTTGTAGTGCAATGGGGTAAAATCTCTCCTTTACGGATTAGAGTAATTTTTTGATAAGAAAATTTAATTTTCTTTAAAATTTCTTTCCATGGGCTCTAAGAGGATCTTTTTTTTTTAAACAAACCCATTATGGATTTGGTTAGTCTCACAATATGGATGAGACTTGACATATCCGGATGCGCCATCCCGAAAATTCCTAGGGTTATTCAACTCGTCCGGATTCGGCCTGAGCCCCTAGAGTGATGTGCTTCCATCTTAAGCATCCGGCCATACGTCCATCGAGAAATTTTGACTGCAGAATAAGAGATTTTTAAGACAATTTTAGCGATTTTTTCCTTTATTTTAAGGTTTAAAATATAAAAGGGGGTGTGTGAATTTATTCGAAATATTTTTAATAATTTACGTAATCGAATAACCTATTATTTTTTATCCGAATGAACCCATCATTAATTATTCTATATAATGTTAATTAATTAATTAACATTATATAAATTAGATATAGTAACTTATCATCAGCCATTCACTTAATAGATTCGATTCGTTCACAGATACGTAATATATGTCTATATATAACTTATATATAAAGTAATAATAATAAAGATAAATTTAATTATGAGTTATATAATTGTGTACACTATTAATTAAAATATAAATTTCTTCATATTTATTTTAAAATTGTTTAATTAAACTCAACAATATTATGATATTTTTATAGTTTCTGCCAGAATTACAATTGTTCTTAATGAATTTTACAGTGGATTTCTTGTTGTGCTTATTTGGCATACTTGTTGTGATCTGTTGACTATTATATAATACATTTAACTAATTACTAATTAATAAAGTAATTATTAATCAATTGATAATTACATTATAGAATTAATTATTTATTTTGTAGTAAATACTGCATGTATTTATTGATATATTAAATAAATCTAGATATAAATGGAAAGTTTAAAATTTTATTTGGTAGTAGTCTTTTAGTATTGTAATAGTATTAGCAGCAGCATATATATAAAGGTAAAAATGATTGTTATTTTATTATAATATTGCTATTTTATTGCTAGAATTGAGTTTTTCGTTTTTATCTATCTTTAACAGATTCTGTATTCTTAGCTCCTTCCCTCCCTCCCAACGTGAACGTCATTTATGGCAACCCCTTTCTTTGGAGGGTGCCAGGGATCCTTTGTACCCTTCTGGGTGCGTTACTGACTACTACTACTGTTGCTGCTATTACTTTTACTATTATTCAATAACAGTAAGTAAAATTTTATTTCAATTACTTTCTGTAAAATCACAATTAAATTTAATTGAATTGATTATTTTTTCGAAAATAATTATTCTAAATTAATTATCAATTTAATGTGAATTGTTATTAGAATAGAATAATTATTTTTAAATTATATTAAGAGGAGACAAGGAGACATCTAAATTTCTCCTTGTCTCCTTGATTAACGGCTCTAACATGTAGATTCTAGACAGCGCTATTAATTAATACAAGTATTAGTTAATATTTGTTAATAGACTTAACAAATATTAATCTTTGTTGAAATTAACCATCGAGAACTTTCAAGAATCGAATGGGTTTCGAGAATGGAGAACAAACAAAGAATGTAATTCGTGAAAACAATGACAATAAGGTAACACGATGCTACCAATTTTCCTCTTACGCAGTAATTAATAACTAACTAGTATAAAGTATTCGTGAACAAGCCGATTAACATTGATAATTAGTGATTGAAGTAAACGATCAATCAGGGTATTAAAAATTCCTCGAATAGTCATATCCAAGGATGGATCTATATAGTGACTAATAGGGCTTAAGCCCTGGGTCTCCAAGTGTCAAGGGCCTACATAATTGAATTATTATCATAAATGTTTAGATACTAAAAGCTGTTCAAAACAAAAAAATTAATTTGGTATCACGATTCAGACTTTTACAAATTTTAATTCTTCAAAGTTTATTTTTTTTCGTTTAAATTCTTACATTTTCTCAAATGTTTAAGTTTAGAATGAAAGAGAAATTATTTACTGTGTCTTCGTCACAATGCTCTCAATTTTAGTAGTGTCTTTCCTCTGTACAGTACATCATACTTTTCCTATTATCAATAGAGTCATGCCGGTCATCTCTCTAACTCCGTCCAGGAGAAAATATTACTTTCGTTTCATATCGGACGTTCGTATACAGTATTCTTAATTAATCGAGGCTTCCTGCTCTTATGCTTTTCATATTTGGTTTCGACTTTTATCCATCTAAATCCATTCTCGAGATCATATAAATTCCTCTCTGATCAGAGAGGAATTTATATGATCTCGAGGAGGAATTTATATGATCTCGAGGATATATGATCTCGAGAAACCTATAAATTCCTCTCTGATCAGAGAGGAATTTATAGGTTTTTGCAATTTTCAACAATNCATTTATTAATTCGTAACTAAATTAGAACGATTATATTACAAAAAACGATTTAATAAAATATTTATAAACTTAGAAAAAAAATTTAATTTTAAATTTAAAATAGCCTTAAATTTAATATATATTCTGTAATTTCATATTTTAAATTACAAAGACTCGAATTTTCAATTAATCTTTGTATCGATTTCTGTGTTAAAAAATAAAAATATATATATATATATTCTTGTGTAACGTTCGACAATTTTAATGCAGTTTAAGGGGGGAAGAAATATGAATATCACATAAAAGATTTATGGTACTGATGTTCGATATTAATTTTATAACATTGAAAAAAATGTTTTGTCACGTATCCTGTAACTTTAGTCACTCGTCTTCTATAAAGTTAGTGTCAAGATAGTAATAATAGATACCACCAGGATCGCTACCGTCGACCGAACAAGTTACATTAAGTGAAGTAATTCAGTGAGAGAACACGTGTGTAACAATGCGGTGGTATCTTTACCTCATTCTGTATTCTATCAGTAAAATAAATCAGTGCTTTATGGAAGATGGTAAAAGATCGATCAAAATGGCTTTGTTAGCACCAGGCGACATTACTTATCCGTTCTCTATACAGAAAATATTACCTTCTATCCTTTATGCGGTACGTACGTTGGAGAAACAAGGGCACGAGGGCATATTGAACGATAGAAAAATTGAAGTACTACACAGGGATACGCAATGCTCTTCAACTTACGGACCACTAGCAGCATTTGATTTGTATAACGGAGCGAGTGCTGACGTATTTTTAGGACCTTTGTGTCCTTACGTCTTAGCACCGGTAGCACGTTATAGCACAGTTTGGGATGTGCCACTTCTAACATCGGCCGGTGAGAATGACAATTTCGATTTTAAGGAACCTCATTACAGGTTATTGACTAGAATGAACGGTTCATATTCTCAAATTGGTCAAATATTCCTTCAAGTATTACAAAAGTTTAATTGGACTGTTGCTGCTTTACTCTTCCACAATTATCAAGACAGGCAAAAGGGACATTCTAATTGTTATTTTACTTTGGGCGCCGTTTTTACTTCTTTGGGAAGGAATGCTTATCATCACGGATTCGACGAAACCGATCCCGATATTGATTATTACGGATTATTAAATGCTGTATCTAAAAACGCAAGAAGTAAGTTTATTTATATTAAATTTATAAACAAATTTATAATTTATTTTAAATTTAAACTGCCCCCACGAATTAATTTCTCGTATTTTTATATAATAAATAACGTCATAAGATGATTCAACGCTACATAAATTGATTGGCTAATTTTAAAATTAAAATTATTCCTGATTCATTTTAAATATTTAATAATGTTTATTTAAATTTCATTAATTTAATTTTGTTTAAAAAACATTTTAAAAAAATTAGACATTTTATAATTATGTAATTACCAAAACAAACTATAATAATTAATTTCTAATTACAATTTAGTTACTTGTTAATAAATGTAACAACTAATTCAAATGTAAGCATAAATTAGATTATCAGATAAAAATTTTGTCATATTTTAATTATATAAAAGTAAATTAAATACCTATTTAAGTATAATTAACTTTCTGAAGAATTTCCTATCATTTACGTAATTAAGCACTAAAGTTTTGATCAGTAAAATCAATTTGAATGTTATGTAAACTGCGTGGTGTTATTTATGAACTTTGAATTCAGACACGTTTGGTTTATTGTATATCGATAAGCTATATTTTAAATAATGAAATATAATCCAGACGTAATTCGATCGAAATTATTTTTTACTCGAAAGTAATCTTTGTAAAATTATCTCGTCTCGAAAGACACCGTAAAAAGTTTTTGGCACTTCTATCTCTATCTATTGTGGAACGGTAAGTCTTTCTCTTTCCTCCTCTCTCTTCCTCTCCACCTCTTTATTCCCCTAACTCTTTCTCTCCGTCTCTCTTTTTCTATACTTCTTTCTTCCCCCTCTCTCTTTCCATTCACCTTTTTTTTCCTTCTCTCTCTTCCTCTCCACCTCTATTTTCCCCCCTCTCTCTTCCTCTCCACCTCTTTCTTCTCTCTCTCTCTTCCTCTCCACCTCTATCTTCCCCCCTCTCTTCCTCTCCACCTCTCTCTTTCCCTCCACCTTTTTCTTCTCCTCTCTCTTTCCCTCCACCTCTTTCTTCTCCTTTCTCTTCCCCTACACCTCTTAGACAAGAGTGTTACACGTTGGAATTTGAACCCAAAAAGGATTTTTATCATTGTTAATAGGGTGCCTGAATAATGGGAAATCTTGATGGGATTTATTATGTTTTTGCTCCTATTTCTTTCTTCCCTCTTCTTCTCATTCACCTCTTTCTTCCCCTTCTCTTTTCCGCTCTCTGATTTAATCTTTGTTAAGCAATATTTTTTAATTGAATTGATTTTCTGTCCATGAATAAAACTCTATTTATATAAGAAATATTTAGAAATACGCGTGAGATTAATAAACTAACAAAATTTTCTGAACATCACTATGCTAGTACAAATAAATAGATTTTAATAATATAAAATATACACGTATGTTTGTCCGCACTTCATCGTTTAGCCTCCTTCAATGTGTTTCTGATCGAACCTATGAGGAGTTTGATAAAGATCCATTAAGTGGAGGGTTAAATATAAAAACGAAAAATATTTTAAAGTAATGTTCAGATTTCAAAATTCATTTTGATAATGTTTTGTTTTAAAGTTTAGGTTTGGATTTTAAAAATATTCAATGTTTGTAATATAATATTTATGAAAATATAATGGATGAAAGACTACTTAAAAGGACAACAACTCATGGTAAAGCAAGATTTGGGGTATCCCAAATGTTGCTGAAGAGATCGAGATCATACTAGATGTGTAGTCTCGAGTGACGTAACAATACGAACGTGTTAGGAATATCACGTGATACTAACTCATTCATTAAAACCATTTACTGAGCAAGTACGTCAACACATTCGTGTTGTTACTCACATAATTATAACTCGCGAATAGCACCGTAAACATAAACGGAACGAGTTCATGATTATGATGATAATATTTGTGACGTGGCTATTAATGTTTCTAAATATAAATATTCCAGTATCTTTCATACAGGATTATCCGCAAATTACGTAACACTTTCTTTATACTCTTCAACTACCATCCCACCCGCTGTAACGCTCTGCACGCTGTTCAATACCCCAAAATTACGTAACGCATACTTTCGTTTTTCTATTAATTGTACTGAGGAATAATACATTCCAAGGCACTGAACGTTACATTATTTTAATAATTACAAAGCAGTAACAAATAAAATGATTAATTATAACGCTTTAAAAGCAAAACTGAATTATTCGGTTACGTAAGGATGAAAGCTTTATTATTACGTAACGTTTTTGTAAACACTCCTACCCACTTGTAACGCATCGTAATGATAACGTGCATACCTTCCCACTCATATCTGCGTAACGTAATTTATGGACAATCCCTATTTCTTTTTATTTTTACTTTGAAATCTGTAAAATAGGCTAAATTTGAAGAATTAGCATTACTTATCATTTTGTTTAATAATTTTCTTCTTCTGTATCAGTTTAACTTTATATTTATAAAGTAAAACTGATAGTTCGATATTAATTTTATAACATTGAAAAAAATGTTTTGTCACGTATCCTGTAACTTTAGTCACTCGTCTTCTATAAAGTTAGTGTCAAGATAGTAATAATAGATACCACCAGGATCGCTACCGTCGACCGAACAAGTTACATTAAGTGAAGTAATTCAGTGAGAGAACACGTGTGTAACAATGCGGTGGTATCTTTACCTCATTCTGTATTCTATCAGTAAAATAAATCAGTGCTTTATGGAAGATGGTAAAAGATCGATCAAAATGGCTTTGTTAGCACCAGGCGACATTACTTATCCGTTCTCTATACAGAAAATATTACCTTCTATCCTTTATGCGGTACGTACGTTGGAGAAACAAGGGCACGAGGGCATATTGAACGATAGAAAAATTGAAGTACTACACAGGGATACGCAATGCTCTTCAACTTACGGACCACTAGCAGCATTTGATTTGTATAACGGAGCGAGTGCTGACGTATTTTTAGGACCTTTGTGTCCTTACGTCTTAGCACCGGTAGCACGTTATAGCACAGTTTGGGATGTGCCACTTCTAACATCGGCCGGTGAGAATGACAATTTCGATTTTAAGGAACCTCATTACAGGTTATTGACTAGAATGAACGGTTCATATTCTCAAATTGGTCAAATATTCCTTCAAGTATTACAAAAGTTTAATTGGACTGTTGCTGCTTTACTCTTCCACAATTATCAAGACAGGCAAAAGGGACATTCTAATTGTTATTTTACTTTGGGCGCCGTTTTTACTTCTTTGGGAAGGAATGCTTATCATCACGGATTCGACGAAACCGATCCCGATATTGATTATTACGGATTATTAAATGCTGTATCTAAAAACGCAAGAAGTAAGTTTATTTATATTAAATTTATAAACAAATTTATAATTTATTTTAAATTTAAACTGCCCCCACGAATTAATTTCTCGTATTTTTATATAATAAATAACGTCATAAGATGATTCAACGCTACATAAATTGATTGGCTAATTTTAAAATTAAAATTATTCCTGATTCATTTTAAATATTTAATAATGTTTATTTAAATTTCATTAATTTAATTTTGTTTAAAAAACATTTTAAAAAAATTAGACATTTTATAATTATGTAATTACCAAAACAAACTATAATAATTAATTTCTAATTACAATTTAGTTACTTGTTAATAAATGTAACAACTAATTCAAATGTAAGCATAAATAAATTATCAGATAAAAATTTTGTCATATTTTAATTATATAAAAGTAAATTAAATACCTATTTAAGTATAATTAACTTTCTGAAGAATTTCCTATCATTTACGTAATTAAGCACTAAAGTTTTGATCAGTAAAATCAATTTGAATGTTATGTAAACTGCGTGGTGTTATTTATGAACTTTGAATTCAGACACGTTTGGTTTATTGTATATCGATAAGCTATATTTTAAATAATGAAATATAATCCAGACGTAATTCGATCGAAATTATTTTTTACTCGAAAGTAATCTTTGTAAAATTATCTCGTCTCGAAAGACACCGTAAAAAGTTTTTGGCACTTCTATCTCTATCTATTGTGGAACGGTAAGTCTTTCTCTTTCCTCCTCTCTCTTCCTCTCCACCTCTTTATTCCCCTAACTCTTTCTCTCCGTCTCTCTTTTTCTATACTTCTTTCTTCCCCCTCTCTCTTTCCATTCACCTTTTTTTTCCTTCTCTCTCTTCCTCTCCACCTCTATTTTCCCCCCTCTCTCTTCCTCTCCACCTCTTTCTTCTCTCTCTCTCTTCCTCTCCACCTCTATCTTCCCCCCTCTCTTCCTCTCCACCTCTCTCTTTCCCTCCACCTTTTTCTTCTCCTCTCTCTTTCCCTCCACCTCTTTCTTCTCCTTTCTCTTCCCCTACACCTCTTAGACAAGAGTGTTACACGTTGGAATTTGAACCCAAAAAGGATTTTTATCATTGTTAATAGGGTGCCTGAATAATGGGAAATCTTGATGGGATTTATTATGTTTTTGCTCCTATTTCTTTCTTCCCTCTTCTTCTCATTCACCTCTTTCTTCCCCTTCTCTTTTCCGCTCTCTGATTTAATCTTTGTTAAGCAATATTTTTTAATTGAATTGATTTTCTGTCCATGAATAAAACTCTATTTATATAAGAAATATTTAGAAATACGCGTGAGATTAATAAACTAACAAAATTTTCTGAACATCACTATGCTAGTACAAATAAATAGATTTTAATAATATAAAATATACACGTATGTTGGTCCGCACTTCATCGTTTAGCCTCCTTCAATGTGTTTCTGATCGAACCTATGAGGAGTTTGATAAAGATCCATTAAGTGGAGGGTTAAATATAAAAACGAAAAATATTTTAAAGTAATGTTCAGATTTCAAAATTCATTTTGATAATGTTTTGTTTTAAAGTTTAGGTTTGGATTTTAAAAATATTCAATGTTTGTAATATAATATTTATGAAAATATAATGGATGAAAGACTACTTAAAAGGACAACAACTCATGGTAAAGCAAGATTTGGGGTATCCCAAATGTTGCTGAAGAGATCGAGATCATACTAGATGTGTAGTCTCGAGTGACGTAACAATACGAACGTGTTAGGAATATCACGTGATACTAACTCATTCATTAAAACCATTTACTGAGCAAGTACGTCAACACATTCGTGTTGTTACTCACATAATTATAACTCGCGAATAGCACCGTAAACATAAACGGAACGAGTTCATGATTATGATGATAATATTTGTGACGTGGCTATTAATGTTTCTAAATATAAATATTCCAGTATCTTTCATACAGGATTATCCGCAAATTACGTAACACTTTCTTTATACTCTTCAACTACCATCCCACCCGCTGTAACGCTCTGCACGCTGTTCAATACCCCAAAATTATGTAACGCATACTTTCGTTTTTCTATTAATTGTACTGAGGAATAATACATTCCAAGGCACTGAACGTTAGATTATTTTAATAATTACAAAGCAGTAACAAATAAAATGATTAATTATAACGCTTTAAAAGCAAAACTGAATTATTCGGTTACGTAAGGATGAAAGCTTTATTATTACGTAACGTTTTTGTAAACACTCCTACCCACTTGTAACGCATCGTAATGATAACGTGCATACCTTCCCACTCATATCTGCGTAACGTAATTTATGGACAATCCC